CAGGAAGGGCACTATGAACTAGCTTCCAGCAGTTCCAGCTATGAGCTAGCCTCCAGCAGTTCCGGCTCAGCAATTCCAGCTGGCAGCTCCTAGCATGCTAACCTGCTCCTGCTTTGTGGCTATCACACAATCCCATTTGTGTCCTGCAAAGTGAGCAATATAAATTACACTAGAATAGTTCAGGAATATTCCAAGTATTAATTAGTGCTAACATATGCAATGTAATGCTTGCATTTGATGCTCTGTGCTCATATATAAGTAGTGTATACACAACATATACATGTGTACATGTACACATGGAAGTCATTCGTCAATAGCTTTTAAAAGGCCACTTAAATTTTAATAATGTTGCATGGAAATGTTTATAAAGAGAACTAGCTGAACTAGATAATGTCTCCAGACTTATATTTATAGAGATGAATCATCTTACAGCTCATACTGATGCCAAGGAACTAACAGGAGACAATTTAACCTATGAGGAGATGCTAACTGTAGCAAGGGGATAAATCTAGAAGCTGGGAGATAAATCAGGATCATTTTATCACATGCACATAACTGAAATGAATTTTTTTCAACAATGAAATCCTAAAAGTCTGTGTGCAAAAGATGACTAACATAACACCTGTCAGAATCAATGTATCATGCCTTCTGAATCAAAAAGCAAAGTACAAAATAAAGACTACTGCTATTAAAATAATGCCCATGTCTCAAAGTATTATTAGCTTGAGCAAACATTGCACAGTTAATGTTTACTTAATTGTTTCAACCACACTAGTTCTAACTTAAACCCTTTTGAACATGAACTTTGTTCCATTTTTCTCATTAAGTTCACAGAACTACAGTCATGTCTGAGAAAAACACCAGACATAATTTTCAGTTCCTCTGGCATTTTCTGTGTCCCTTCCTATAATCATGGCACAGACATTAGGAGTATTAGAATGATATAGAGAAATTATGAAGTTAATATATTTTTGCAAAACCTCTTTCTAAAGTATCTTCACATGATCACTGTTGCTTAGATCATTTTCTTCTTAATGAGAAGCATGATGAGCTCAGGATCAGTCTTCTTAGGATGGTATGCCAGCTACCATAGTTAAATTAGGACTAATGTCTGGTTCAAACATTTGTGGTTATTCACGACTGGGAACACAATACAAACAAGTTCCAATCATGTGGGAAGATAAGAGACTAACTAATGCTAGAATTGTACCACACTTCCTAAAACAAAGCATGTGCCAGCCAGGAGTGCTATGACAAAGGCACTATCCTTGTAAGCTATAAGAGGACTTTGCTTACAGGAGTAACCTGATCCAATGAGAGCTTCAGAAGCATCATTCTAGCTGCTGTGTGAGAACAGACTGAGTACAGCCAGTCTGGTGAGGCAGGAGAGGTTTATTTTAGATCTGTAGAGTCAAGAGGACTTCCTGTCAGATTACTTTCAGGGCTAAAGGAAGGGAAAACTCCAAAACAGCCTTTAGACTTATTGCCTGAAGAAATGGAGACACAAAAGTTGCCATTTCTGAAATGGGGAAGAATATCAAAGCAATAGATTTTCAGAGAGTGTCAGAAATTGATCGCAGTCGGGTTAAGTCTGACTCACTTACTAACCTTCCTAGAGAGATGTCACAAAAACAGATACAGGAGCCCAGAACTCAAAGTACAGATGAGAGCTGCAGATGTCATTCTGACAGCCACTGGCATACTGGGTTCAGTGACAAGCTAAGAATGTCACAACCGTAAATGGCCAGGAAAAGTGAAGGCTACTAAAGACTGAGCCACACTCCAAAGTTTTAGAGTTGGAGATTTGAAAGATAAATTAAAAAAAAAAAAGATACAAAGACATATTTACCATAAATTCAAGAGGAAAACTGAAGAACTGAATTTTCCAGAAGACAAGACAAGCAGAAAATGTTTCAAAAGAAGAAGGGGTGGGGGGCGTCGGTAGTGGAGGGAACAGAAGGGGGAAGGCTGCTCTTGCTAGGTCTAAATAGAACAAGGATTAGAATGAGGCTGACCCATCTACTGAGCTGGAGTGTTGGCAGAAAGCCTAATGATCAGCTCACAGGTGGGTTTAGCAGAAAACAGCATGAGATATAGACACAGATATGCACTGTCTGCAAAAAAAAAAAAAAAAAAAAAATGAAGGGTGGAAATGGAACTGCAAATTTAAATTTAAGAATGGGAGAATCGGGGTTTGGGGAAAAGCTCACTCAGTAAGACAATAACAAAGACCTGAGTGCAATCTGAAGAATCTACATTTCAAAAGCTGGGCATGGTGGCACACTTGTAATTCCAGCAACTAGGAGGCAAAGACAGTAGGATGCCTGGAGCTTTTAGGCTAGAGAGTGTAACCTACTCGGCAAGTCCCAGGCCTCATTGAGACCCTGCCTCCTTACCCCGCCCATGCACACACATACAGGGGCACACACAAGAATAGGAACACATGCCTGGGTGGTGGTGGCGCACGCCTATACTCCCAGCACTCAGGAGACAGAAGCAGGCAGATCTCTGTGAGTTTAAGGACAGCCTGGACTACAGAGTGAGTTTCAGGATAGCCAGGGCTGTTACACAAAGAAACCCTGTCTCAAAACAAACAAATAAACAACAACAATAGAATAGGAACACACACATACTAATTTAAACAAACAAACAAATAAATAAATAAATAGTATCCCTTTTGGCTTATGGGAAGGATGCAGTAGGGAGTTTAGGCTTTAAAAAGACCCATGTTCTGCCACTGTGACAACATGGGTCAGCCTCTAGGACTTATCTACTCTATGAAAGATAGCTACTGCCTGACCTCATTAATTTGTAAAATTTAAAGATTGGACTCTTAGAAGTAAACTGACAAATGATAGTTATGGAGACCTAAAAGACAAGCTCTGGAGATGTTGGTCAAGAGATACAAAATTTGAGTTACAGCAAAGATGCCCAAGAGATCTGTCTGTGACTTGGAAATCAGTAACAAAGGTGTATCCATGGAAGCAATCACCACTACAGCCAGGTAAGCAGATAAGGAATTTTCCCTCTCCCTCCCATCCTCCAATTCCAATCCCTCAGTCCTATCGCTAGCTTGGTAGCAGAGCACCTGCTGCATTCGCTCCTTCCTGTCTGGCCCCATTCCAAAGCAACTACACAGATCGTCTCCTACAGCTTTCCCTTTGTCCTACAAGCCTTCCTGTTTTACAAATTTGTCTCACCTGCTAACACTCACGGCAGTCTCTCTCCCTGGTAACCCACTTCCATGAGGACTGATTCATGGGTGTTAATGAATTATTTTCATCCTTGGGAAATCTCCACTTATAGCTTATTTTTAAATTTTCATTTCCCTTGTTCAAGTTTTCAAAATAGTTTGATGAAACAAATTAATGAAGACAGAAGTTAGCCAACAAAACTGACAATGAATCTGTTCTTCAGAAACATAGTAAAGAAACGCTTTTCTCCAAATGAAACTTAGCAACGGAAACAGTGTTGTAGTATGTCAAGGAAGACTGACCAAGAAAAGGGTTGAGGGGCTGGGAAAAAAAAAACAGACCTTGATATGTTATTTATAATTGATGTGTTATTTATAATTCCCAGGGAAGGTTCCTCTACTCAAGACTCATGAAACATGCATTAGGGAAGCAAGCATACAGGTTAACAAATGTTGAAATCTAAAGGATGAAAAAGATGAGAGACACATTGTCCACAGTCTGACAGAAAGACTCAGAGCAGACTAGGAAGATGAGAGCAAACACTTGAAAATGGCCTGGGTTCACTGAAGGGTGGGAGTGAGGACGAAAACATCCAAAGGGCACCATCACAAGAAGCTCCTCCTGAAAAATGTGTGATATTACTCCCAAGTCTCTGAAAAAGTAATAGACTTTGTCATGCAAGAGCGAAACCCAAAGCCACAATTTTAAAGTGCATTAAGTGAATGTGAGATAAATCTTTTACAGATGATTTCTTTTGGATGTCTGTTTGATGGCATTATAAAGGACAGGATGCTGATGAAAGAACTGACTTCTAAACCCAGTGAAAAGTTTGATCGTGGGCCCTCATAATTCACGTAGGAATTCCTTGTCTCAGGGACTCTTAGCGTAACCCTGGCAGTGTGTGGTGCTGTCCTGTGTCGAACGTGGCTCCTTTGTACCAGCCACACCTTCTCTCACTGTTGCTTTCACCTTCAAAATTCACACTGAGTTCAAACTCACAGTTCCCTGAATTGTAATTTGTTCCTTCCAGTTTTTGGGTGGCTTGAACATTGAATGTTCAAGTACTCAGAAGATGAATACCAAAGCCATATTTTTTACACAGGGTTTTGTTTGGTAAGGTAGTTTGATTATATACTATCCATTTCACTCACGTTACACTGAAGAGCTACACAACTATCTATTCATGATAATTCCTCCAAAGATGGATAAAATACTTCCCAGTATAAGTCAAATTTTAACTACATGGGGTTTATGTAAACACAACAGTCATTTAAAAACACTCTAATGAATAAAGAAAACTTCTACATAGGCAGAATTTAACTAATCAGGAGCTGCTGATTAAGTTTCCTAAAACAAAAAATTTTAAAGATGTATGTATTTCATGTGTATGGGTGTTTTGTGTTCATGTACTCTGGAAGCCAGCAGTGGGCGCCAGAGACCACAGAACTGTAATTACAGATGGTTGTGAACCACCATGTGGGTGCTGGAAATGGAACGAGGTTCCTCGGCAAGAGCAACAAATGCTCTTAACTTCTTTGCCATCTATACAGTCCCTACTAATTCAGGCTTTACCCCAAACATCTATTGCTACTGAACCTACTTGTTATACATTTGCTGTAAGTAATACTTGTTTGGCATCATACAAATACTAATTAGACAAACAACAGGAGTGAAATATAAAAACTAAGAGGGCAGCAATGAATTCCTGCACACATACTGAGTGGAAATCAACATTAAACTTCCTTATAGTTTCTTTCTCAAATTATAACAAGAACACTCGAATATCGTTTTGTACAAATGATTTACCTTGCTTTATATCAGTACTTCGTAGAACTTCTGAAAGGTAGCAATGTGGCAACGGATATGATGAAAACATTGGCCAAGGATATGGGTCATCCCCCTAAAGCACAGAACACAGGTAACTTTAGGGATGGGGTAGGATACTGAACTTCACACTTCCTAAAGTATCAGACATTTAAATTGACTTTTTTGTTCATGAAATTTTTGTTCAATTATCGAGTTATTTGCTACCATAATCCACTATCCCTAAAAGGCAATAAGGAAAATAACAGAAAATTTAAATAAGTTGGACTATGATAACTTATTCTTGTGACTTGAACTGATAATGATTAATTTTTTTCATGAAAGGGAAAACATAATCTTCAAAAGGTCTTAGATTCCCTCATTCCAAAGTTATTTTTATTTTGCCAATCATTTCTAGCTGATCTTTTCCAGGATGAAAGTCACAAAAAGGAAGTTCTTAACCACCCTCCATAAGGACCATACACTCCATACTGTAAAACATGAATAAATACAACAATTAGGAGTCATGAACAACCACCCTACATAAGAACCACACACACTCCATACTGCTAAATGTGAATAAATACAACAGTTAGAAGTCACAAAAGAGAAAGACTTCAAAATTCAAATACTTAAGGATACTCAGAAGAATGACAAGAATGTAATAAAACAATAATCTACTACTCTTGGACACTCATCAGTAACTCATGAGCTCTTGGAGACAACACTACTATTTTATTTTGAATGTGTTTACCTGTTTTGTGAAGTTTGTTAAGCAACAAAAATTGAACATTGGTATGCAGAAACGTGGAAAATGTTGCTCAGTGCCACTTCAGTTGGATACTTCACTTTAAAACCTGTCAAAATAATGCACTCACCTTCTCAAGCATCCTTGGAGGCAAAATCCGCTCCAAGGGCCCACCAATGAGATTAATCCTTACAAGAACATGATTTCTCTCTACCGACAGGCCGTCAATTATAAAGTCCCTGAAAGAGAGTACACATCTATTTTGCTGCCTCCTTACCTGAATATGGTTTGATTTTTAAATCACATCACTAAATTGCAAAGAGAAAAAAAAAAGACAACAAAACAAACAGAAACAAAAGGTATCTGCAAAACACACTGGTCATCACAATATTTACAATACAGAAGGCTGCATTCATTTTCTGTATAATTACTTCATTGCTATCAAAAAACATTATGACAAAGAGTATTTTCTTTATGAATGATCCTATATTTACAGAAATGAGACAGGACACTGTTTTATTTCTGAAGTAACTTAACCATCTTTAGGAAAACTACTCCTGGTCTTGGCCACTGAAGGCTAGGTTTACAGCCAAGGAGACACAGGTTCTCCAGGTTCTAGGGTCAGTGCCCAAGCCTTTCCCTTCTGTATATGAAAGTTTAGCATCAAATGAAATATCCTACGACTATCCATGGCCTGCAGAGGAGGGAGGCATGCGGCTGTGTTCTGAATTACAGACACGAGAGCAATGACAGCTGTTGAATGTGTATTCTATAAATGTCAGCCAAGCTGAGGTAATGGCAAGTGTGATTTATTAGCAGGAAAATAAAAATGATCAAAACCTCACTTGGAAAATCATCAGAATACATGATTACAAGCTGACATAATTAGGAAACCAGGGACAGAACAGCTCCAAGAGGGATGTAAAATCAAGCGTTTTACTCACGGGGTCATTGTACAAAGTGAATATAAAAGTGGTCTGACTTTGGGAAAACTAAGGAAAAAATACTAAGACAAAAGGACCAATGTTAAATATAGCACTCTCCAAAAACATGTATCATTATCTTCCCTTGATATTCATGCTTAAACAGCTTTTTATTCCATCATTTAAATGCAGTAATTCAGACAGTATAAAAATTATACAAATTTAGTTTCAAATCATTTGTAAGGCAAACTGCTAACAGTATTACCCGAATGCCACCATTTGTTTTGTTTTGTTTTGTTTCCTGACCTGTGGTTCTCAGAGGACTCGAAGGTATTTTCTTCCTGAGCATGTAGTAACATGTTGGATACTTGATACTGAGCCTCCAATAAGAGAAGAGCATTGAGATCACAGCATACCACACTTAATAACCTACATGAGAAGAAAAGTAACAGTCACGTGAAGTGCAGGGGGAACATTCTTAAGATTTTAAAGTAATACCTGAGCCTTGTAAGAATGTCTACATAGTTATTTCCAGCTTGTTTTTATTTCAGGCAGTCTCACTCCACAGCCCAGGTCAGCCTGGAACTCACTCTGCAGCATAAGCTGGTCTCAGACTTGCAGCAATCCTGCTTCAGCTTTGCAAGTGCTGGAATTATAGGCATGAGCTCCCACCCTGAACTCTCAGACTTATTTTTAAATATTCAGATTTGTAATAGCTGTTTCAGAAGTTATCCTTAATTTTTAATCCAGACTTTCCAAACGTTATCTGTAACATCATGAATATGAGAACATTTTTCTTAGTCAGGCTCATGGTGGGCACCTGTAATCCTAGCACTTGGGAGGCTGAGACAGGAAGACTGCCACAAATTCAAGGTCAGTTTGGAATATAGAAGATCCTGTCTCAAAAAAATAAAATAGCAATAACCACAAATACAGTTCATTCTTCTCAACTGTTACTTGAAGATTCATCAGGGAATATTAACAAATCCATTCAAACTACAAATTACCATAAGTTTCTTTTAATAATTAATTACAGAAGGAATGATGAAATAGTAACTTCGTCTCTAATCTAAGACACGCTCACTAAATAAAATCACAGTATTAAAGTGGCAGTATCAAATGGATTTTCTGGAAATGGAAAGCTTAGGGTAGGAAATGGAAACTTCAGAAATCGGTGCCTCGCGCAACCCCCATCAGAGAAGGATGCTCTTTCAGCAGATGGGAATTCACACAGAGACCCACAACTCAACCATGTGCAGAGAATGAAAGACTACCGAGTACTCAATTATAAATGGGATGTCTTCATCAAAGTCTTCCCTTCAAGGCCCAGGGATCTATGGAAAACAGGGGGCAGAAATACTGTAAGAGCCAGTGGTGATGGATGACTCCAAGGGAGCAGTGTCTTCTAGACACAACAGGACTGATGACAACACGTGAACTCAACAGAGACTGTGGCAGCATCCATAAAACCTATACAGATTCAAGCCAGACAGGGTTCCAGCACTGAGAGGGGGAAGTAGACATGGACTCCCACCCCAACCAAGTTATGTGCAATTGATACCCACTGGTAAATGGGCAATCAGTTTTCTTTGACGATGTGTCATTGGCTTTATCAACCACACTTCAAGGTAGGCCTCACACCCAGGAATAGTTGGCCAACACAAAATGCAATTGGACCCCATGTTTTCTTGTATGCTTTTTGTTTATTTGTTTTGTTTTGAGGTAGGAGTTGGGGTCTTGTGCTTTGGTTCATCTTTTTGTTTGTTTGCTTTGTCTTATTGGTTGTTTGTAGTTTAATTATTTTGGATCTTTGGATTTTTTTTTGAAAGAGAGGAAGAGATGGAGCATGTTGTGTAGAGAGGTAGAGGAGAGCTGGAAGGAGGTGGGAAGAAGGAAAAAATATATACCAGACTCCCATGAGCTTTTGGCCAGGCAGATCACCAAAGGCTCCCAAAATAATACAGAATACTGATGTATTATGACAGTATGGGGAGGTTCACTACACTGTCACTACCTTTTCATGTCTTTAGAAATCAAATGAATTTCAGATTCTGGCACAACTACATGTTTTTAACCTGTTCAAAGCATACATAAATAAATATTTTTATTAAAGATAGCCATTTGATGACATTGTCTTGAACCTGGCTACAACTATTCAGAGATATAAAACCAAAGCAAGATCCAACCCAACGATTTAGAAAAAATATTCCACCCAACTTACAGAAACCAAGAGATGAACTGCTGCTACTGTTGAGGCTCAATACAGATGAAGCAAAGGGAAGATGAGACATCTAGTCCAAAAACCAAAACCAAAACCGCAGAGAAAGGAGAAAAAGAGTACACAAAAGACAGTTTTAAACACAAAGCAAGCTCAAGATCAGCCAAAGGACATTAGAAAAAATAGTACCTAAACGGGTTAAAGAGATGTGCAATGGGGAAAAGGCTCTTCTCATGAGGACGTGAGTTGAACCCCCAGAGCCTACATAAAAACCAAAAACAAACAGAAAACAAAACACAAAAAAGACAGTTCAGTGTCGGTGTGACTACAACATGGTGAAGCCTGGAGAGAAAGAACTAGAATGGCATCCCTATAAAAACCTTGTGAGGAGCTCTATTAGGAGAGACAGTGCAAAGGGAGAGCTGCCATGGATAACACGACAGGAGGCCTGAAGATGATAGAGAACCTTTAGTGAACTCCCTCAAACTGTTTCCATAAGATGGTGGTAAGTTCTCCACCACGTGATTTGATCTGTCAGTCTTTGTGCCAAAAAGCTAGCTGCAGGCTAAGACCATAAATGTATCTTACACATGAAGGGGTTGGGGGAGGCTGGGTTTGTGTTCCCATCCCATCCATAAGCACTCACCTTCCCAGCAGAGGCCTGTCAACTGCAGAGGGGTGTGGTTAAGAGGCAGGGAGAAGAGGGTCTATAATCTAACATGGGAATTCCTACTGGATTGAAGATGCGGTGGAAAAGGAAGCATCAAGGATGATGGAAGATGCTTAGGTCAAACAAGCAAGAGAAACTTGTAACCAACACACACATGCGCGTGCACACACACACACACACACACACACACACACACACACCAAAATAAGAAGACTTGGGCAGAAACTAACCAACCTTTTTCTTCTTCCAGCATACTAAATCACTGACTTGATGATAAAAATGACTATCAATGGATCTCTAAATTAATATGGTGTGATTCATGTGAACTGGAGCAACTCTATTTATGAACAAATTCATAACTCTATAGATAATGGAGAATTAAGACAAACAGATGACATAAGATTTTCAAAATCATACAAACACCAGTAGTAGTTCAAAGTTTAAAAAATTAACTACACAATAAATCAAAAGGAAGTCATACCCGACCAAATACAGTTCATTATGAGGAGAAATGGCAAGTGTATTATTAAAGTCTGTCTTGATGTAATTCATGACACGAATACGTAACCGAGCAAAATCATGTCATCATTTGATAAGCTTCCCATTAGGGTCTCAAGAAGAGAAAACAATCCACCCTCTCCAATTTTTAAGAAAAGGAGGGACTTTAATCTTTTCAAAGGTCTCAGAATTTACAAGCAAGTACCTTTTGCTGTGAAACGTAGATGAGGTAATACTGGTGACCTAAGGCTCTAGTGCAGGCTCTGATAAACCAGACTACCTCAGTTCTGGCAAGATCTATCAACCTTCTGGCAAGTTCAGCTAATGGTGGAGAGGAAAATCTTGGGGAAGCCAAATGGGTATGAATATTCCCCACCATTTCCATTTAACACTAAAAAGTGGGAACATGCATTCACAAGACAGAAAATAAGGTTAAATGCAAATAAACTCAGGTCAGTGCATAGTTGCCCCTGTCCTTCCACCTACTACAAGGAACCTCATGGCTGGCTTCTAAAAAAAAGAAAAAACAGAGGCCATGTCTGATGCGCCCGTGGTGCTTTATTTTACTAATTCTATCTGACAGATAAATATCTAGAGAAGGGGCACAGGGTAGCTATGATGACCCAAGGACAAAATCGTAAGCTCCCTACGACATAAGTGTCTCATTGTGTCTATAATGTCTTTACTAAATTTCTGAGCATGAATTTTATAGATTCAAGTTCATGTCTAAGTATCATGTAAAGTAACCATCTGTATGTTCTGATTATTTGTGTGTGTGTGTGTATACACACATATATATATTTCTTGCTACACACACACACACACACACACACACACACATATATATAGTTTCAATTTTATAGTGGTGAGTGGTTTTCACTTGTGTGTTATCTTCCAGAACAAACGGACAAACTGACATCATCAGATGTTACATGTGCTTATGGTAATTTGGCAAATGAAACACAGAGATTATTAGTAATGTTTTAACTTCCCTACATAAACAATAGACATTTAATGTTATTTAGAAAAGACATAAGGATTCTTATGTGATTATAAAATTAAAGTAATGTAAGAAACTGCAACTCTAAGATACAGATAACTTTGGTTACAATTACAGAATATTCTGAAATTAGGCAGGGGCAGATGTATACAAATAACTTAGGATTGTATTATCATATTTAGATAAGAGTGGTTTAAAGTAGGATACTGAAAGGCTTAACTTAATGAAAGAGTATCTTTGTGGAAGACATACACAGGTCTCATGAATCCCATGCCACTCTTCAATTGAGTGCAGACTGTACCTTTAATCTTCCTCTATCCAGCTGAGTATGTTAGAGAGAGTTGGCTAGTGGTTCTGCATGGTATGTTGAGGTGCAGTGTTACATGACTTAGGACTTGTCCCCTGCACATGCTACCTGCCCATTAGTCATGCAGTAACTGCCCTGGTTGTTAGATCAATTGTTGGATATCACAGCGCCTGTCCTGAAGCAACATTTACGGAGTAGCTTAGCTGAGGTCATTCCCATTTCATCTCAGCAGATACGTATGATATCTAATCTTAAATTATTACAAGAAGAATGGTCAGGGAGGCACAATGGAGTACTTTCGATGAAAGATAATATTCAAATAAATCTTAGAGCATACAATCAGTACTCAATCTAACTACTATTAATCTCTTACACTTAATTTATAAATAAAATATTTATCATAGCATAGAAAAAGTATAACATATATAAGCTTTAGTATTATACAAAACTTAATGTATTCACTGCACATCCTGGCATGGAGTTTCTACGGTAAGAGGGAGGGAACCACAGTAGAAACCCCAAGGTCAATACATAAGCAACTAAAATATGATCCTGTCGTTCAGTTGATAAAAAGAAAGTAACTAGAAATTACAGGGGAAATGTTACACATACACATGGGTATGTGTGTACTTACATGTACATAAATGAGAATTATGTAGGGAAGCCAATAAGATAATACTTTGAAAATCCAATACATTTACTTATACTAGCAATGACCAATTGACCATTGCTATGA